AAAGAGTAAAAATTTATAATAAAAAACAACAACAAACTTGGACAAAATTCTCCCAACTAGCTCAATTTCTTCTTCTCCAAAACCCATTTATGAACTTTGCTGATGCATATTTCATCAACTCTTGCATAACACTGCTGCAATTTTCCATACCAAATTAGAACATATGTGTCGATTTGATCTTCATATCTTTCATATACAGCTGGGACTGTAAGAACCACAATCAAGCCTGCTAGAATACAAGTCCAAACGACGGTTACATAGGCAAATTTTATGAAAGAGGCGTATAAAGTAATATTTTTCCGAAATGATTATTTTTCTTCGGAACTTACATGCATAGCACAAGGTGAATAAATCCGTAAGGCTCCCGATTAAAGAGATCATTAGAAGGCTAATAGCAACTTTGAGATACATACGCGAGTCTCTTCCATGGGCAATATCCTCAAACACAAACAACACAAAGTTAACATGATCGCGAACTAGATTTGCTATTTCATTCATGAATTCTTCCGAGAGATACAAATGAGGCAAAGGTGGTGGAGGCCTGCTTCAAAAATAATAGCTTTGCGATCAGATAACAGTTAACCGTGACCAAGAAAAAAGAGGTTCGAAGGTGGAAATTTGCAAGAAGCTAATTGAATTGGTTGAATAAGTTGAAGAAAAGCGATAAATCTATTTACAAAAATACGAATGAAAAGCGGATATGGAAATTTAAAACACCCCTCCAAATTAAAATTTTAACTACATTACGAAAAAAAATAGAAGCATAAATCGACATTTGAACACATCAAGAGCTACATTTCTTTTTTGAACAAATGACAATTACTTCTTCTATTTAGTGATTGTGTCAAATAAGTTGTTCAAACGAGATTCCCGAACGAATCGTGACAAATGTATACCAACGATGATAAAACTAAACAAACTAATACCAAAATTCAATCTGAACAGTGCAACGAAACATAAGATTTACCGGTTTAAAATTGCAGCTGATTTTGCCCACAGAAATAGAATGGTTAATAGAAGCAAAAACACACTTGAGACCAATGAAAACAGAGTATAATGAGATATCTCAAAAACCACCCAAGAAGCCAAAGCTGCTGCTAAAATCCCTACAGTAAGGTTTTTCCTTCTCCATAGAATCACATCTGCAACTGTTGGATCAAAAAAAGGGCAAAAAAAAAAAAAAAACTCAGTCAACTTTGTTGGATCCAAATATCAAATTCTGTTCTTGCTGAAATTACCTTCACCAAATGCACATAGTCAGAGCTCAGTACCAAGATTTTGCTACCCAAATTTGATTTTTTTTCATTGGAAAATAACTTTCTTTTTTCTTTAAAATAAAAAAATTACCTAGACCACCTCCAAGAATCTGATGAACTTGTCTCTGCCTGTTGAACAGCCGATCCGATGAACCCATTTCAACCTGTAATAATATATATGAATCTATTCAAACCACGGACTTCAATCGCAGCTAGAAGACATGAACTGGGTTTGAAAGACTTGTATTTTATTTTCAGGAAAAGTGCTTTATTTGGAATTGAAGGGTCAGTTTGTTCTGTACATCAGTTTTAAAGTTCAGATTTTTATTTGGAAAGGAAAGATCACTTCTTTATCAAGTGGGTGTGTGTTGTTTGGGAGTTTATATAATGGTTTTGAAGTTCATATGTGGGTATAGTGGTTTTCAAGTTCAATCTTGTAGGGCTTGAGAAATGGAAAATTACTTTTTCCAATTTTTTCACATGGTTTTCTTTCTCAAATCCATTGAAAATAAAAGTTCATTACATTAAAGTTGGAAAGTAGAGTATTGGGACATTAGCTGGGATGTGGGTCTTAGACTAATTTTTTGGAGTGAACAAATTCTTGTGTGGGGAATGTTAAGTAGGTTCACCCGTCATTTTTTTTTTTTTATAAAATTGCATACTTATTTTATGAAATATCATATTTTTGTAATTTTTAAGAATATGAAATTTAAATTTGAAAATATGTATATATATTAAAAAGTATGATTGTTTAAGTGTTAGATTTGCCCATAATGGATAATTTTGAAATGTAATGTAATACTAATAATATTAAAACATTAACCTTTTTAAAATTATAGGAAACCTAATCTCATTATGACAATCTTCTTTAAAATATATTTGAGAGTGATAGAATGTCAAAAAAGCACAAAAGAAAAGAAAAAAAATAAGAATCAAAAACTTAAAAAAGTATGTTAATTTCCTTTGATGTGGTAATGGAATTGTGGAATAAGAGAACTATGCTTTTATAATCACAACTTTGATCTGAA